TGAGAGGGAGCCTCACCGCGAATCCTTTCTTTAGGCGTCACCTGGAGTCACACCAATCTTATAAGGAGAAAAGCAGGAAAAGGGAACCGGGAAGACAGGAACAACATATCTGTGCATTAAATGGGTTAGCACCACCAGCAAAAGGCCCAGCCAGGAGCACGGCACCTCAGAGAGAAGCTGCTGAAGTGTGTGAAGGCGCCCGGCTCCCCATGCCGGCTGCGCCGCTACGAGAGGGAAAGCCACCAAGGAGCCTAAAGAATGACTGGCTTAGCAAGAAAACAGGCAGTAGTCATCCTAAAATACCTTTACAGTAAAAACCACAGAGCTGATCTTTCCAAAGATTGCAAAAGCCCTTTGCTAATCCCCAAAATATGTGTTCTTTTATATCCACGTGAAGCTTTAGAGGTGCTGAGTCACTGAATGTCCATTTCAGCCGTCAAGGCACCTTAAATCTCATTGCCCCATGTATTTCAGCCACAAGTACCTGCAAAGTGCTACCAAAATTACTACATCTCCATTTAGCCAACAGTTTCTGGTCACTCACCTGAGCTTCTGAGCGTTTCTGAAGGTTCTGCCTTCGAGCAGGCCGCAGGGTCTGTGATTTTTCCGGCAGAACAGGGAATAGACCCTGGATCTTCGGACTCGTTTGGGCAGTTTTCCATACAGATCTGCAGCCAGCGTGCAGTCAGTTAAGCACCTGAGGGTTTGTTGCCCTTGAATTAGTTCTGCTGACACAAGCAGAAGGCAAATATCTAAAGACCAGAGCCAGAAAAATGCTGCAGAGAGTTTGAGAAAGTCCATTCTGGAGCACCCACAGGCAGTAGCCCACGTGCGGTTGCTATAAACCTGTATTTTTGCATCCCACATGGTGCCCTGGCTGAGAGCAGAACAAAATCTCTGTCCCAGGGTGAATTTGGATGCTCCATCCTGGAGCCTGATGGTACCAGGTGCCGGTGTGGATTCCTGTACAACAATTTTCATCCCATTTGCCTGCAGATTTTGCTCGAGAATGACAAGGCTGTTGCACATGGCTTGATAGGTTCATCAGGTTCAAAGTCACCTCAAAATCCTGCTGGGATGGACCAAAATTAGCTCTAATGTAGCACTTAGAGAAAATTACCTGTAGAGGAACAGTTGGATACAGTGCATGTCTAGTTGTTTTTTTTTTTTTTTAAACCTATTGAAACCCTCCTAGGTCTGACAGTTTCTTTTTAATAAATTCTATAGCATGTTTTCTGCTAGTATTCATATGCTTCCAAGGGGATCAAAAGCATTTTCCCAGACTTTTTTTATACCTAATTACGTTTTCCAGCCCGTGCTCATTTTCGTCATGTCAATGTGCCCTCTGGACCAAGGAGCGCCCCTGTCACGACAGCGCAACACGTCTCATGTCAGGGTAACGACAACCAGAACCCGCTCCACCAAGGGGCAGTGCTGTATCTGCCACCCGCCCCGCTGGAGCCAAGAGCCATTTCTGCACGCTCTGAATTCCCCTGGGTAGGTTCTTCCTTCGGGAGCCAGGAGTTGGTGCCCACGGAAAAGTCCCTGCCTCCCAGTTGCAAGAGCAGCGAGTGGTGGGATGGGGTGTATTTCTTCTCAGCTGCCACTAGCTCGCATTCCCCGTCGGAAAGATGTAATTTCCTAAGGTTTTTGTGGGGATTATTGCCCCGCAGGAGGCTTAAGGCACAACCTCTCCTGATACGAAGCTGATCCTTGACCTGCCTCCCTCCAGGCAACGTTCCTACGATTCTTCCCCTTTTCCCGAGGTAGGGCCTTGGCCCAAGTGTTGCTGTGTTTGTGTTCTGCGGTATTTCCCTGGCTTGGCCTCACTTCTGGCCACTGGCCTAAGGAAACAGAGCTGGCAGAACCCTCCGTAGCGCTGCACAGCAGCACGTGTCTTGGTGGGGTCTCTGGAAAGGAGCTCAACAAGCTGCAGTTCTGCTTCCTCTGGAGGAAGATGCAAGTCCTGACTCCGTCCCCTCCACACGTTTGGTACCAGAGCTGCAGGAGGGCAGCACGGGAATAGACACAGCAGAGCTAAACATGAGACCTGCAGAGGAATCAGCTGCCTCAAGTACAACTCGATATTCATTTTCCTCTTGGCGTGATGTAGCTCTGCTCCCCCACATTCCAGACACAGTCAAGAGCCTCCACCAAAGGAGCTGTTGAAGAAAAACAAACAGGCAAACAGAAAAGAACTCCCCAGGCCCATTTCTCACTTAACACTCTCCTTTTTTGAGCCTAATACTCAATATTCTCTGATGCCCAAGAAGGAGATTCAGCCTTTTGGATTGTTCACCTTTATTCTACCGTAGCAACAGTTTGTTCTTAAGCAGGAAGAAGAAAAAACACATTGATTATCTTCAAAATGGCTATGCAGCATGTATGATTTTACAAATACTCATATCAGAATAGAAAGGCATATAAATATATATATACTTTTATATAGATATAAAAATAAATGATTTGGTTCTACAAATTCAATTACAACAATTTCAGGGAAGGAGAGACACAACATGGAAACAATGAAACATCAGGACTTGTAAGTCCCTTTTTTAAAAGATTTTCAGTTTTTGGACTTTCTGCTATGCGTGAAGAGGGGAAAAGAGAACTGCATGATTCCTACCAAAATGTATTTGCAATAAGTGGATTTTATGTCGTTCAGAAATGTCCCACTTAATAAACTCACCGTGACAAAACAGATACGACAATGTCAGAAGTGCAGAGACTTCATTTTATAGTAAAAGGATATATATTATTAAAACATTTTATAACTTTAGGGCTGCTATTTCTCTTTACCCCCAAATAATTTTAGCATGCAGCACATATTTTCGACTGCTTTTAAGAAAGCAACGTTCCATTAACAGTAAGACTCGCAGTGCATCCAAGATAAACAGATGGAAGAACCAAGGCATAGAAAGGTAGGTGATAACGTGATCCAGCCAGAGCAGGGCCACCTTTTACATTTACTTGAATATTGCCTTCATCTAGTGGAATTCAGAAGTGTGGACCGTTGCCTCCCTCTAGCGTTGGCACCAGAGCCTCATGTTTTTGTTCCCACCTTTGATAAGCTCCCAGACCAGACCAGACCTTTCCATTCTGAAATGAAGAGGAATCTGCTTCAGCCCTGCCAGGAATGACCCATAATTAATGTTCATGGACACTCTTAGTATGAGAATCCCCCAAGCCCCAGGAGTGCCTGGGGATGGAGCAGCCTCCAGAAACTATTATATAATTAACATTAATTCACATTTAATGATTATGCAGAAGCCCCAAGACAAACAGCTGACTCCATTTCTGCGGGATAGGTGCCCAAGTCTGAAGAACTCAGCCCTGGTAATGCTTAAAAAAAAATCTTCAAAATGCTTACAACCAGTCTTAAAAATGCAAACTGTAAATCATTAAACTATAAGATCAATATGAGTCAGTGACTGAAGGAACTGACTAACTGATAGGGTTCAAGATAGTGCGGACACATAAGCAAAATTCCTCTCCTACCAATCTAGAAAGTAAATATTTACTGAAAACCTGTTTAATGAACCCACAGGGCACTTTAAAAAGAGCACTGTGGGCAGCACCCTTGCCCTCCACCCTCTAAGCACCAAAAACTGATGAGAATCATGGAAGTGGCACTGAAATCTGCCAAATTCAAGGTCAAGTCTAAGATGTAGAGCAGTATCACTGCTGTTCCTAGCCCCATTCACAAACATAATGATTAATTGTGGCACTCAATTAAAATATGCTTTCAATGTAACATTACCTTTTATTTTTTAAGCAGCTCAATCTATAATTGAAGGCACTTTTTATCTTTGTTTCTTTAAGACATCCTTAAAGCTGTTTTTGGAAGACCAGATAACTTAGGTCTGAGCCTCCTAAGTGCAGAGAGCAGCTCCTCAGGTCATGAGCAACAGCACCCCTCATTTGGGACAGGTAGGACTTTCACCAAAAATACACATTTGAAGACTGAGTCATAATGCAAGAAGGCTTGATTATAAACATTTAATAAGATCTGGGAATATAAAACGCTGGTTTAAGGCTGTCACTTAATGCGACCTGAGCACAGAGGACATACCCTTCCTTGCAAGTCTTGCTTTTAGCAAGCAAAAATAACCACTTACGGCAAACCCGAGGAGCTATCACAGACAATGCTAATGACAGGGGTTTTGCCCTATAAATGAACACAGAAAAGGCATATTGGGATATAACCCAAGGAGCAAGATATATCCAACGGTGAAACAAGTGAGTTCAGAAATGTTTCATCAGTTACAAAGACAAGAAGAATTGCTCTCATTTTGCAATCATGCAGATATTGCTAAGAACAAAGTGTGAACTTTTCCTCGTGGTGCTTAAACAATTAAAATAACATTTTGCTGCTCTTTTGAAAACGAAGACTGAGGGTGCGTATCTGCTCCGAGAACAAGGAGGGCCCAGGGGCTGGCAGTGCAGATTGCCCTGGGCTGCAGCTCAGGACACCCAACTCACGGCCACCGACGGGGACAGCTCTGTTGACGAGGCTCCCCAGACTGCTCCTTCCCACAGACCTGGCCATTCTCCAAGCAGGAAACAACCTGAGACTGAAACCTTATTTGTGACCAACCTAGGTGCTTCCATATCCATTAAAAAGCATTTAAAGTAACTTTTTTTTTTAAGCCTGCAGTTTGAGGCTTTATTTCATGTCTTAAACCAGCATTTTATATTTCCAGATCTTATTAAAGCAGCAAAGCCTTCTCATATAGGTGACTCAGTCTTTTAATGTATATATTTAGTGAAAGACTTTACTAAACCAAGTGCCTGCTGCTGCTGCTCTTTGACCTGCCCAGGAACACCCAGGCAATTGCTTTATTTCCCCTCTCAGGCTATGAAAAAGTGCTAAAAACAAATGCTTCGCTCCCAGCTGTGGGCTCCAAACACAGACTGCAAGGACCGAAGTGCTGAAGTGGTTAAAGACTGTGTGAATGACACAGGTCCAAAGGCACAGCCAGGACAGGTTAAAAAAAAAATTAAAAAAGTAAAAAATGTAACATCAGGCTCTCATAGGTTTGCATTATGGCAGCAAGAGAGATTTTGCCAGTCTTGTCCAGAACCATTTTTTGGTGCAGGGATTGGTGTAATCACAAATCGTAATGAACCGCAGGATACTGGGGAACTCGTTCTTCATGGTTTTGCACTTGACCGGAATGAGCCGCTTGAGACGAGCGCCTGGAAGACAAGAGAAGGTCACACACAGAGTTGCAGGTGCTGGGCCCACCTCCTGCCCGCAGCACACGCACCACACGGGCCCGGTTTGAGTCACACCAGTGCAGAGCAACTAGCTCTAACCCCAGGAGGAAACTTCTGAATCACGGGGCCCCACTGCCGAGACTTCGCTCCCATATGGAACAGGACCCCACGTTCCATCTAGGATGTACGTGGTGGCTCAGGCCGATGCCAAGCGGGAGTGCAAAGACTCCTGTGAAGACAAACGGTCCTGATGCTTCCAGATGTACATGAGAATGGAGAGAAAAACCTTCTTCTAGATGATCAGCTTTGCTGGGTTATCTACAGTTCCTCCCCCTCCTATCACTCTGCTCATATTGACTGTCCAACTACTCCTGTGAGAACTATTGCTTGAAGGAGCACTGTTCTGAGGAGGAACCTCTTCCCTCATCACTTTTCATATGAAAACTTGCTACCATCTCAGCTGTGATCATCACATGATGCTGACACTTGGATGAGACAGTGCAAGATTTCCCCACTACAGCAGGTATCTAAACAATCCACGACATTCCCACAACTTGACATCAACCCTTCTGCACCTTGGTTACCCTGTTATTTCTTGTACTTTTATGCAATGGTTTTACTGGTAGAGATCAAGCCATTAGGCGCAGATGAGCATTTCTTTGCCGGTGAAGGGTGTGATGCCAGGGAGCGGCTGCAGAACTAGAAGGACTTTGCTGCAAATCCCTACGATTACGGGCTGATGCCATTTATTAGGGCTCATCAGTGGATTATAGACCACAGCATGAAATTACAGCATTAAGGAAAATGAAGTTAATCCCTAGCTCTGCCACTGGCTTCCAGTTTTCATCTCTGACATGTCGTTTATAAACCATGTCAAGCACCGTATCTCAAAAAGGCATAGCCAAGTGGCAGATCTAAAAGCTACTCTGCACTGTTGCTTTTGTAGCTTTTAATGTAAAGAGGATGGGGCCAAGCTCTTCTCGATGATGGCCAAAAACAGGACAAGGGGTAATGGGTACAAGTTGAAACATAGGAAGTTCCATCTCCATGTGAGGAAGAACTTC